ATTGCCTCATCTAATCTCTCCTTTCGCTTGCTCTCTTCTCCCGCAGTCTGCTAAAAATGGACGCAATTAGTCGCAATACAGCTTCGGTCGCTCAGGATTTTCATAAAGCGGGAGGCGTGCACGAGTTGAAAATACCAGCAAATCATCAACTCCTGTTCAATAATAAACTGCCTTCGCAATGGACGACACGAGAGGCTGCAGCGCTATTGCACAGCCTGAGCAGCATGGGCGGCCATCACAGCAGCAGCAACAGTAACAGCGGCAGCAACATCAACAACAACAACAGCAGCAGCAGCAGCAGCAGCAACGGCGGCAACATTGGCCAGCGTCAAAAGTTTGGCGTTATGCGTGCCAGGCAGCACTCGACGGGCGAGGATGATGAGAATACACCGTCGTCGGCATCCTCCTCTTCGTACTCGGGCGACGAGTACAACATGTCGGGCGCTAGTTCACCCATGAAATTGTCGCGTCATGCCAACAGCAATGGCAAAAGCTTGCGCTCGTCGAGCGAGCACGAACATGAGAGCGAGCTGAAGGAGCAGAGCAACAACAACAACAGCAACAGCAACAGCAGCAGCAAGGCGCTGATGGCAGCGGCATTTCTGGAGGCGGCAGCCTACGAGCAGACGGCCATTGAGCTGCTCGCCAGCAAGCGAAAGCTCAAAATTGAGTATGACGAAGATCAAGAGAATCAGCAGCAACAACAACTGCAGCTACAGCAACAGCAACAGCAGCAGCAGCAGCGAGTGCAGCTTATTAAATCGTCTCCCGCGTATAAACTTAACAATAACAACAATAACCACAATAATAATAACAACAACAACAACAACAACAGTCACAGCTATTACAAAGAGAAATCTCACAGAAATGCCATGCATCATTGTCCACAGGATGACAAGGAGAACAACACCAGCAGGTCTGAGGCAACGGCCGCAGCAGCGGCAGCAGCAGCCATGGCAACTGCAACAGCTGCTGCAGCAGCGGCTGCCGCTGTTGGCACTGCAGCAGTGGCTGCAGTAACAGCAGCACCCAACAGCAACAGCAACAACAACAACAGCAACAACACACCCTTTCTCACCCAAATGGAGTACCAGAATCTCAATCGCATTGGCACACAGTTTCAGAATTATGTTAAAGATATTATTAACAAATACTATGCAGCTGAGACGCCTCTGATGCTGGCCGCCGCCGCGGCAGCGCTGCCGACAGCAACTACGACGGGCCAGCAACAGTTGTCGCCCGGCAAACGGCGACGTCTGATGAGCGAGACGGAGGAGTACATTGAGTATCTGCGCAACAAGGAGGACATTACACTGACCATAACACCCAAGGTGCCTACCGGCAGCAGCAACAGCAACATCAGCAGCGCTGCGCCGCCAAAGTTAACAGTGGCGCCGGCGTCGCAGCCCCAGTCGCTGCTCAAGCGTCAACTAGATCTGGCAGCACCGCGCAAAAGTCCCAAGAAGCCGGCTGTTAGTCAACATACTCTCAACAGCAACAGCAGCAACTGCAACAACAACAGCAACATCAACAACAGCGCCAATAACAGCTGCGCTGCTAGCGCCTCGCGCAAGTCCCTGAATCAGCTGGCAACGCTGCTGCCACTGCTGGCCGATGCTGCCAGCAAACAGGAGTATTTAACAGCGCCGTTAGACTTCAGCAAAAAGTCCGATGCAGAGACAGCGCGCAGTTCGCGCAAGCAGGCGCAGCCAAAGAAAATACGCCTCTCTCCGGAGGCGGTGGTTGCCATGCTGCGCGACAAGCATCTCAATAAGCTGGTGCACCAGAGATTGGGCTGCGCCAGCTGCACGGCCAGTCGGCGGCGCAATGGCGGCGGTGGCATTAGCTTCAACTATCATACGCTTGGCTCTCTGGCGCTGCATCGGTTTTGGAAGCATCGTGCTCTGAGAGTTGCGTCGCACGGCTGTCGGCAGTGCAGCGCACAGTTTGAGCGGCGCTACAGCTTGCAGTTACATCGTCGCCTGAAGCATGCCAAACTGTAAAAACTGGCGCTCGCTCTCCCGCAGTCCCTCACTTTTTATTTAGTTTAGAGCAAACCAATTTCTCATTAATCTTAGAAAATGTTTTGCTTGCCATATATGTACATTTCTTATGCATTAGGCATTAACATTGAAAATTCATTAAAGAACAAATTTGCATTTATTTGTTAAATTTTAAGTTGTGATGTACCTGAAATATGATTTCTCTTAAAAACAAAAAAAAAACATAAAAAGCATAAAAAAAGATAAGCTGGTAGAAAGTTTCCCCAAATTTCGATCAATTTCACATTATATTAATTGTTTAATTGAGGTTATGTAAAAGACACACACACACACATACACACACTCACAAAGCAAACTCACATTGTAGTGTTTAAACAAAAGGCAAAAAGACAACAACAAGTACACTAATATATTATATTATAATAATGAAACACTTAATAGAATTTAGGAAGATATTCGATGAGCATTTATCAAATATCTTCAATTTTGTTGCAAAAAA